TTCTGACAGCCTCTATATAACAGAGCCTGGCCTCCCACTGTCACCACTGCTCTTCATCCATCTGCTTGCAGCCTGCATAGAGTCTCATTCAGTCAGGTTTCAAAAGAGAGACCGAGCAGGGATCTGGCTCACCTCTCTCATTTCTGTCCTCCATGTCCCTGCTTACTTTTATTTGATCTCCTTATCCTTTCTCTGCTCTTCCTCTGTCTACCTTGTTGACTGAGCTGAGCTGTGGAGCTGAGGGTCCAGCCTGGCCTGCTGTCCTGTCTAATCTAGCAAGCAGACGTGATCAGAAGCTGGCCACATTCCACCAAACCCCCCTCCGTTCAATCTTCCTCTCTTCTTCCTCTCCATTTCTTTCTCTCTCGCCCACCCTCCCCAGCGTGGGCCTCACTCTACATTCCTCCCTCACTAATACTATTCCCGCTATCCTCTTCCCTCACTCACTTATTCCCTCTCTTGCTACCTCTTGTTGCATTCCGATCGCACTAACTCTACTCCCTCTCGTCTCCCCACACCTCTAATTACATGCATTGCCCAAACAAAGCCTTATACATTACTCCCTCTTTAGTACTGTTTACTGTCCCTCTCTCTTTCATCCTCCAATCTCTTATTAAGCTCAAGTTCTGCTCCTCCTCCACACATTCTTCCTTAAGATCTACAAATTCATCATCCCCTCACTCATCACAAACAGCATCCTGGGGAATACATCCTGCACTGTAGAAAACCTCACATCCAGATAAAGGGTGGCTAATTTCTGTTATTTTTACAGAAAGAGCTCCTCAGGGAAATGGCATCCTTCACACCTGCCACCATATCTCCCTTCAGCATATCCTTTCTATTCAAACACACAGTAAAAGTGCATCTCTTTAGTTGTGGTGTCCTTACTTAATCTGAAATCCTATGCTTAGTCTATCTCACCCTTCTTCTTCTGTGAATGTCATATTCCCACTCCATGTCTGTCTCAGTGCACTTTCATTATCACTCCCTGTCAGTGCCGAGCAGATTCAGGTTCAAGTTCTTATCATATTCAGAGACTTTGCATGATTTGCAGGCTAGGTGTACTTTCACACTGAACATATTCCATCTCTGGCTGGGTGACTCATTCACTGGTTACTAATTAAAAGGCAATCCCTGCTGGGAAACACAAATACAGTCGTTTCTGTCCCTCCCTATACCTTTCCCCTTTACGTTAATGGATAAGAGTTAGGAGCTGAAACTGTGAGAGCAGTGAGCAACATCACTGAACAAACACACACCCTGGGATTGCCTGAAAGCTGCTACTGCTACATGGATGACGACCTGGACACTCTGAAAGTTGTGTGCATACAAGCACAAAGGGCGTTCTGGATGACTGATACAGACAAACACGTTGTCAAACTGAGGGAGAACTTCTTCTGTCAGCCATGTTTAAAGACAATTAAACACAAGGCTGAACGTGTGTCTCATTTTCCTGTTTCCCTGAAAAAAAGTATTTAATATTAATGCTAACTCAATATACACAGGCCAACAAAACCACTGAAATAGCACATCATTTTGTTGAGCAAGTTGCAACCCAACTATAAACTGGAGCAGTTCAAGACTGAAACATCCTGGGGCTTCTGAAAATGTAAAACAGAGCTACAATAATGAGGCATCCAGGCAGATGTACTGGCTAAAACGGTCTTACTGCGAATACACCTACATCAGTGCACAATTTGTTTAACTACTTTATAAGAGTGGTGGTATTAGGTTAATAATGTAGTACAGGCTAGGCTACACACTGAATTAAAACCACTAAGAGGTGACGTGAAACAGGCTGATTATCTTGTTGATTATCTGGTTGGAGTGTAATGTTTCTGCTGGGAAATCTGGCATTCATAAAACTGTTAATTTCACACATACAACTCATCTAATTATTGTGCATACCAGGCACACCTGTTTATAGTAGCAACACTCCTTGATGGCAGCTGTCTCCTCCAGCAGAACAGTGCACCATCCTACATGGCTGCACATGCTACAAAAAGCCTAAATGAAACCAAAAGCTGCACTTTGTCAGCAACCAAGACAGAAATTGCTTACATGAGAACAACTAATAGCATTAATCACTAACTCACTCACTTCAACCCAACTTTACCCATTATCATTTATACATAGTCTCTGAGAGAGAGACACACCTCTAAGTAGTTACAACTGCATGAGATATATTAATAACAAGTGAAGTTGTCAAAAAACCTCAACAAAGACAGTCTTTGCAAATGCTAGCAATCATGCTCCCAGCATGCTTTGCAGCATTAATCCACCTATGAGCAGGCCTCTTTAGGGGTGCCATGACAACCAGTAAACAGTGGACAACTCACTGCCAGCCCAACAGTCATCAACACATTGTTCACAGATGGATGGGTGGGGGTGGAGGGTGTCAGGGAATACCCAGTGCTGCTGGGTTGTATTTGTTGTGCGTTGAAGCGATTTCAAAAATGACCAGTAGTCAAAAACAGAGGCACAAACATTTCAGCCATTTCTCAGCAGTGAACAATAAGACATTAATGGCTGAATAGCACAGAGGCAGAAAAACAACAATGTAGGCATTATTTAACAACCAGACAACAACATACAGTTGCAGCCTAGTATCCATCGAACCATCTGCACGCCGACGAGTGGATGAAACCTAAAGCGCCCAGCCTAGGGTATACACAGCCTAGATTTAGTCTCTGAGACAAATAAAATTCAGTGCCAAAAATAACCCTCATTATACGCATGAGCTCTACAGTGCACAGACTAGACACACTTTTAAAATAAACACACAAATCATCCAAATCACTGAATATGGAGTTTGTGGGCAGTTTTTTGTTTTTTTAGCTCCAAGTTTTCTTTCCCAGTCCAAGTTCAGCAGGATTTCACTGCACTATTCCACACCAGCCTAGTTGGAACATAATTTGGCCCCCACTGCTACTTTGTCTGAAGCCTTGCTCTTATGCAATAATGACCAATCACATCACATCTGACTGAGACATTTACATAATTACTCAGTTGCAGTCTTAAAGGACACAGAAGTCTAATAGCATTCGAACTGAACTGATGACTGGACTGCTAAACTTCTGAACTAATGCAGTGAGGTACACTAAACACAAACACAACTAAACACTGTGGTAGGGATCATGACCTCATGATCCTTATGCTATTTATAACTACCTGTTCATATGAAGATTTTTCATTTGGCTGTTGGGTCACATGCAGATATGGTAACAAGATCATTAGTTTAAGTTCAGTAATACTATTTATCCAAAATGGAACACAAGACATCTCATTTCAAAAAGATCGGGGTTCTAAAAGATGTAAGAAGCTTTCCAGATAAAGAAGCACTGAGTGTTAAAAAGCTTCCGCATTGGCCCCAACATGGACAAGCCATTAACCTGTTATAGAGCCATCATCAGAGTTGAGATCCAGTGCCTGCAGATATATGATTTAATAAATTATCTATAAGCTGCGAATTTGCTGCTTCCACACAATGCACAGCTTTTTATGTTCAGACCAACTGGTGCTTAACGGTAAAGTAAGGGGGTTTCCCTGCTGACAAATCAGGAGGGAAACCAGGGTTTCAGGTCAGGGGGTCTGCAGGGGGTTATGGCTGCATTAATGCGTCTGTCTTCTGTTTTTGTTCTGGCTGGGATGCCTGCCGAGGCGGTGTTTTCATGCGTTTTTCATGTGAGCAGCAGTGAGCCCAGTGTGGGGCTAGTGTCTGGAGCATGTAATTGAAACACAGTCCCATGCAGCGATACACACTGACCCCACTAATCTTCTTCTGACAAAGTGGCTTAGCTTCTATAGGGTCATATGGCACAGGCTTAAACACAACAGGCACAGGCAGACCCTGTGGTCCTCCTCACATTCAACAGGTCACATTTAGCAACTTAGTGATTAGGAATACACTCCAAAATCAAAGGAGAGGTTAAACCTTTGTACGCATACTCTGACAGAAACATGTTTATGTAATCACTATGGATACACTGATTGTGAATCTATGGGCCAACAGCAGCATTTTGTTTTCAAATCTATTTACTTTACTTTTGCTCTTGCTTATACCTCATTTACTCCATGATAACAAAAAATACCCTGACCCTTTCAGCTTTTTGTAACACAATCACTTAGCTCGTGTGAAATCTTGGAGACAGAACATATTAATGTCGACCACTGACATCAATAAATGCCATGTTAATTGACAATATGCCAATATCAGACACCAAGGTTGATATAGTAAGACCTGCAGTAATCATACACATGAAATAAAGGTAAGCCATACTTGAGAGCATAAATATAGAGCAACCACAACTTCTTCCCTTATTAGCTAAAAGATAAAAAACTTATCTACAAGGGGAACTGCAAAAGCAGAGCAATTATGGCAGAAATATTGGCAATGATTACACCAGAGCCAGCAAAGGAAGTTAGAAACTGCAGCAGCAGTGTTTACAGAAACACTGCTCGAAATACTTGAAACCCGTATTTCCAAAACAGTCAGACACGTAAAAAACAATTGCCATGCAGCTACCAAGCTGCAATACAGAACAGTCTACTGGACAAACTCAAAGTGAACTCCATTCGTCTACTCTTGTTGTTTTGCTCAGCTCCTCATTTCAAGTGCATTCTTCCACTCGACTTTTGTTGTGATTTGGCGCTATATAAATAAAATTGAATTGAATTGAATTGAAAAGGCCCCTAACCTTAGTTAACTATAAATCAATAAGGAAAAAAATAGAGGCCAGCGGTTTAGTAGTGTGTTTAGCTGAACATGGCAACATACAACAAGTAGCCTAAAAACTGAAAAAGAAAAAAACTAAAAATGTAAAGTGACACTTAAGTTTTTATAACTCTGTCACAGCTATAGTCAATAGCCTATCACATATTTCTAAGCTGTGCTTTTCAATGCTAATGACTGTATTTGCATTTCCAATGCAAAGCAGATGTAACCAAGCAAACAAATGAAAACTTGGGACACTTTGTCCAAACACTTCCTCTGTGCATACCTTTCCTCTGGAGGAACAGCCTGAGTAGAGGGTTAGCTGTGGAGATGGCCTTGTGGTAATTGTCGTCATTGTTGATGGGCAGCAGGTCACCGTGCACGTCAGCGTAGCCCACCAACAGCTCCACGTTGGGGATGCGATGCACGTGCTGCAGGAGACCGTAGAACTCATCGAAGCGGCCTGGCTTGGACCGTTCCAGAGAGAACCGACGAAACTCTGCACCAAACTGGGATGGGGCAGAAAGGCGTTCACATGTGATTGCAAATGAACACACAAATACACACACAGGTGTGACGTATGGCCGAAACCAGGGTATGAAACAGTGCCTGATAAGCCTACTTTGTACTGATGCGTAAGCCAAAGCACACCACGTGTGGTAAATTATTCACGTGTTTTGTGTATCTCTAGGTTTGCAGATAAAGCTTTTATCAAGCTACCTCACAGAATATTTATCATGCAGCTATTACAAAGACAGTGTGCTTTCAGCATATGTACAATCCCCACAAACATGTTGCTGGTTTACCCATTTAAGCCTGTGGACTGACTGGATCAATGGCTCTGGACGCCTAATCTTTAGGCAGCTCTGTAGCTGAGACAGAGCACAATGCCTCATTGGTAGCGTTAGTGAGAGGTACCAGCTGTTGTGGTTACTGTTGCTCAGCGCTGACAAAAGATGATCTCCCAGCTTAATCGGTTATTTTATGCATCAGTGCAAAGCAGAGTTAATTTAATAAGTGGTTGGGGACATAAAGAAGACAATCTTAACTCTTAAGGGTCAAAAGAATTTAAATAACCCGGGATAGCTGAGTAAATAATAACAATAGCTATTGCACTACTGTAGGGAGGCAAAATTAGTGCTGTAGCTGATAATATTTGACAGCTTGTGTCGACGCGTGTAAAAACTTCTAGAACAATATAGTCATTATTCATTACACTTATGTGTGGTCAAGCCTCAGCAGGGCGCGGATGGAGCCACGAGCCTGACGCAGGCCGTGTGACACCTGTAACCGCAGGAAAATAACACGACAGGCAACGACTATCACCTTTAACCGAGGTAATTTGACATAAACTTTTGGTAATTTGAGTAAACTTTTCACGCAGATTTGATTAAGTTAAAGAGTTGGGTCAAACTTGAAGTCAGTACTCGGTAAACGAGCAGGAGAGTACGGCGGAGAAGGCTGTGACAGGTGACACTGGCTCACTGCGCAGTCAGCTGACAAAAACCCTCCACCTTGCCACAAACTAGCTAGCCTTTAGACGTAAAACGACCAAAAACTACACCACGGTTACCAATAAAGTTTTAAGAATTGTAACAAAATTCTCGGGTGGTCACAGTGGAAAAAAACCAAAACTGTTAGCTCCTCTTAAAGTTTATAAGCCTTGCTTCATAATAACCCGCTATCAAGCCTCTTTAGCAGGCTAAATTAGCAAGAGTGGATTTAATGAGGACGAAGGTTGTCTGGAGTACAAACACTGGAAGGATACCTGACAAATAAGTGTCCGTACCCACCTTGCTCTTCACCTCCACTGCATTCAGAGAACGGCTGCTCGGCACTCGGTGGTTTTTGTTCATGTTTCTCTAGCAGCGGGAACGCCGCCAAAGCACTCACACTCTCTCCCTGCTCCTGCCGCCGCCGCTGCCAACGTCTATCCACAAACCCCGTGTGTCCACCAGTTGTTTTTAATGTTTTAGTTGTGGGGTTTTTTAGTCGCACAGGCTACACCGCGACTTCTCGACGTCCGCCGGTATGAGTGGTCCCTCCACAAAATGCGACAGAGGCTGTCAATCAGCCAGCTTCAGCTCGTAAACTTGTCTCCTCTCATACTTGCCGCTGACACCGTAGCTACAGCCCCACACCGTACCGTCTCTGGCTTACCTCTGCCTGCGACTCTCTCTCCCTGCCCGTGCCCGGAGAGCCGGAGATACGGAACTTCAAAATAAAAGGCATGGTTTCTATAATACTCTGTGGCTTCAAAATAAGAGCACCTTCCACCTCACCAGGAATAGCCCACTCTGTCCTGGCACGGTGTGCCAACCATGCTCCAAATAGCTCAGACAATAATGAACAGTAATGCCTCATTTTTTTGTTTTTAATGTCATTCATAAATAAAATACCCATTTTAAGTGTTTTTTTGGCCATCATGTTAACTGAAGCACTGATGTTGCACTTTCTCACTCTATTAACGTAATGATGACCATATCTCTAAAAACCCTAAATTAAAATCGTTTGCATTAATCATTTAAACAGTTATACTGTACCCGGTAAAAACTAATAGATAGTGTGTAACAGAGATTTTATGATAGTTGAATGAAGTGTTACCTGCGTATGCAAAATTTGTATGGGTACAAAAAATAAACTGTAGTTCCTGCACTGGCTACATCTTGTGATTGTTTTAATTTTATAGTGACATCTTATGGCCAAAAGCAATATGTACCTGCTGCAGCTGCTGGCTACCTGCCCGGTAAATGCAGATACTTAACCCTTTCAAACTCGATGCCGGGTATGTTACGGGTCCGTTTTGACCCAGACCAAAAATTCCATCATAATAAATGTCTACAAGGTTTTGTTGTTGTAGACATATTAATTTACAATGTATAAACAGCCCATCTGACGTTATTACATGGCTTAGTGATGCTTTATTATTGTTTCCAAAACAAAGCATAGTTTTTACATTTTACAACATTCATCTTTGGAGAAGGACATCTATTATCACGCAATGCCATCTCCCTTTTTTACATAAGACATAAAAACGTATTAGAAATAATTATTTAATTGAAAGTGAAACTGGCATTCTGTAACTTTTGGAATTTATTGTATAAACAGATAAAGAACTATTTTAGCTGAATACAGCAAAATGAATCTTAGCAGGATTATTATCAGTGAGTGAAAACGACTAAAATATTCCTTTAAAGTTACTTTACAGAGTAACATTTTCACTATGAATAAAATCCTAAAATCCTTCTCTCTTTCAAAAAAACAAACAAACAAAAAAGCAACAACAACCTTAGAAGTCATATGTACTTGATCAAATAACAAGAAAAAATGCCTCCCTCTGCTCCTCTGCTTTCAGCTAAAAGCACTCACTTTAGTTCAGAAAATTAAACAAATGATAACTTGCACAGTTGTACTAAGCATATAACAAACTTGCATCTCGACATTTGCTCCTATATTACATGTAGACACTAGAGGGAGACAGAGACTGCGAAGGGAGATGCATGTCCTTGTTTTAAAAATTACAAATGTCTCGATTTGAAGCTGAAATATACACATATTTGACTAAGTGGAAAAAGCAGCAATGATTTATCTTCCTCTGAAAGACACAAAACACAACATTTTTTTTAAAGGCTTATGTGTGTAAGAAATAGTTGGAGTTCCTCCTTCTGTATAATATCCTGCTTCATGCAGGTAAAGGATTCTTCACATGACTGGAAAACAGAAGGCAAATACAGGGTAGCTTATGTTGATACAGTCATGTGCTTTTCAGTACAGATGGTGTTCCACTAAAAACAACAAAAAATTGTAAATCAAAATGATTGAAACATGGGTTTTCTTCTTTTGCACACTTGTAACCTCATTGGACCCATCATAGGTTTAACCATATACATATTCCCACACAACAGAGAGCAGCTACCTAAGTTTTACTTCCACACTGTCTGTATATCTTGTTAGTAGTGCTGCAGCCTCATTTTGCCTTAATTCTTTGTGTCTTTGGTTCAAAAAGGTCCAGAAACATTCCTCAGAGATATTGGTCCACATTAAACTCAGCACATCCCAGTTTAATGTAGTCTATTGGACTGGGAACTGGTGACTGCCAAGGCCATTTGAGTACAGTGAACTCCCTGCCAGGTTCAACAAGCGAGTTTGACATGACTTAAACTTTGTGATGTGGACCACTATCCTTCTGGAACCAGTCATCAGAAGATTGGTACACTGTGGTCGTAAAGGGATGGTCATCAACAACCCTCAGGGAGGCTGTGGTATTTAAACAATGATCAGTTGGAGCTAAGGGGCCTAAAGTGCACCAAGAAAAAAGCCCACACACTATTACACCACTACAGTTAGCAGACTGAACCACTGATCCACAGCACGATGGATCCATGCTTTCATGTCATTTACACCACATTTGTGATCCTATCATCTGAACCTTTCACCAGAAATCATGGTTCATTAGACCAGATAATGTTTGTTTTTTAACAATGAAAACATGCAAACTGTAGCCTCCATTACCTGTTCTTAGCTGACATGAGTTTGTTGTCTTCTGCTGCAATAGTCCAGAAAGGTCCAATGTGTTGTGCATTCATAGATGCTCTTCTGCAAACTTTGGTTGTAACAAGTGGTTATATTTAAGTTCCTATCTCCTTCCTACCACCTTGAAATAGTGCTGTGCTGTGTCTTGGGTCTCAAAGAGACCATTTAGGTTATTTAAATGTATTCCTAGCCACTGAGTCACACTGTATTACTGAAGTACTGTGTGGCTCCATGTGTTCTGATGGCCTGGTTTGACCTCTGATGTTTTAGCACCAAAAAGATTGAAAACAGGATGAAGCTATAAGCAGGTTACGAGACTAATAACAGTCCTGTGTGCTTCCTTCTTGTAGAGGGTCTGTCTGTGTAACAAGAAGATGTGATAGAGGATGATGGAAGTGAAAAGAGAGAGAGAACATAATGGAGGTTACCCTGAGGGTGATGAGGAGAATGAGGAGAGTAAAGTTATTGTAGACTTCAATCTGATGACAAATGTGGAGAGAAGTCTTCTCACTTCTGAGCATATTGTAGATGTCACGGTCCCTGACTTTCTTGGACTTTGAGAATCAAAGAATGAACATCTAAAAATAACTGATTCATTTAAAAAAAAAATTGGTTATTCCTCGATTTTTATTTATGCAGAGCTTTTAAGTGTTAGTTCCAGTTTGCATTTTCCCCTCATTGTTCCCTGTCTCACCCTCCTGTCAGTTCCCTCTAAGTTTTGTCATGTATCTGTATAACCCTGTTTTGTTTTTTTGTTTTTTTTATAGTTGCTTAACTTTAGTGTTTTGTGTTTAATTTGACTTCCTGCCCCCTATCTTATTGTCTATGATTATTTTCACCTGTGTCCTGCTACCCTGCAGCTCCAATTCCCTGATTACCCTTTCATAAGTTTCGCACATAAACACCGCTGTCTTCTCCTCAGCCCTTGTGTGTCTGTTCACCTCCCATCTGTGTTTTGTGTTAGTTTATTTTCCCAGTGGAATTTTACCAGCCATAACAAAGGCTTACTTTAATTATTACAGTCTGCCTCTATATGTCTGTATGTGGGTTGTCAGTCCTGCAGTTCATGCCAGTAAAAAGTTCACTTCTGGCTATGTTAAGGACCATTACAGATTGTTGTACATGCTCAATTATTTGTTTAAAAAAGAGAAAGAGAGAGATGCATGACTGAATATGAATAAAAATAAAGGGCCTATGAAGACCAGAGCCCAGGGTTGTGCTACACTCCTGACTGTTTTGCAAGTCACACAAAACATTTTCTCTTATAGGTGAAAATATATTTTTAAAGACAATCAAAATCCTGCATAAATACAACTACCCACAGACAAATATGATGTCAGGTACTTTTTTTCTTTCCTTCTTTTTTTGTTGTTGTTGCTATTGGTAAGAACAAGATTACAGGACAAGAAGTAGAAAGCATTCTTACCTGTTATATTGTCATATCATATTAGCTGATATTAGCATAGCTATTAGGTCAAAATATCTTGTTTTTTAGCCAATAAACAGTAAATGATGTAACACAAGGTGCAACAAGGTGCAGGAAGTTACTATTTTGCTATCTTTGAAGAGACAAGAGGAATACTAAATATTTAATTTATTATAAATAATATTTCTCTGTTTTTTGGAAAGTAGTCTCAACAGCGACATCTGCAGGCTAGGAGAGGACAGGACAACCCGTGTGCGTGTTGGGACAGAGAGGAGGACAGCAGGAGTTTCACCGCCTGATCCATCATACACCTGCTGATTGACTTTATTGTTGGAAATCAGGAGGAATGAGCAACCAGGGAATCACTCCCTGTTATGGTTTTAGCTCTGACCTGCTAAAAGGGTCAAACCAAAAAGAGATCAGTTAAATTACTGCTAAACAAAGAGAAAAGCAATTCAGAATTTACTGTTAACTGTAAAGAATAAAAAAAAAAAAAAAAAAACAAAAAAAAAAAAAGTTGTTGAAAAAAAAGTGAACTGTAAAAAAAAAAAAAAAAAAAAAAAATCAACGTGTATTTCAGCCACTGTTTATTTCTGCAAACTGGACAGGTATGGTGCAGAGGCAGTCAGCGAACAAACTGTCCATAATGGACAATCCTGGCCAACCTCTGCACCTATTACTGGACAGTTAGTGCTGCACTTTCTCTAACTGACTGACTGCAACAAGGACAGACACAGGAAAGTTTCTATACCTTGTGCAATAACTCTCTACATTGCAACCCATAACAGAGAATCTGTTATTTCATCTTGTAATGCCTTTGATGCCTAGAGTATCATATTTGACACATACAGTTGTTTGTGAGGTTTTGACGCTTCAGTAGAGTCAATACTGCTATTTCTGGCTTTCTAAACAAGTGGAGAAATGAGGGGTGGCTCAGAACTTTTGCACAGTACTGGGCTTATTTTTATTTTATTGTATTTGTTTTGGTTTGGATTCATTTTACCTTATTGAGCTATTTATTTAGTTAATGTTTAGTTAAAATTAATAGTTAAAAATGTAAATAAAACAGAACACATTGATTTACAGTAATAATTTCAGATTTAATTCATAATAGAACAGAAAACATATAATCTTGAGCTAACAAGATGTTCCATTATCAGCTTATCATTAACATTATCATTAACATCAATG